CTCTCTCTCTCTCTCTCTCTCTCTCTCTCTCTCTCAAAATGAACTTTAAAAAATGTACTTATTATGTTTATTATGTATTGTCTATCTGTCCTCATTAGTATGTAAATTTCATAAGAATAGGCTCTTTATCAGCTTTGTTCACTACTGGATCCTTAGGACTGAGAACAGTACCTATAGTACCTATAGTAGGGCTTAATAATATTTGTTGAATTAAGTGAAGAAATAAAGCTCAATGCCATCTTCACTATAGAGTCTTCCCAGATTCCTCCGGGCTGGAAAAGATTTCTCTCCAGAATTTCCACAGTACTTAATGTAGACCTGTTTTCAATATATGAAATTCATAATATTCCTACTTGTCTTAGACTTACTTATGGGCCTGTCACCTCCACTCCTGGATTGCAAGCTCTTTATACTAAGATCGAAAATTTGGGGCGCCTGGGTGGCGCAGTCGGTTAAGCGTCCGACTTCAGCCAGGTCACGATCTCGCGGTCCGGGAGTTCGAGCCCCGCGTCAGGCTCTGGGCTGATGGCTCGGAGCCTGGAGCCTGTTTCCGATTCTGTGTCTCCCTCTCTCTCTGCCCCTCCCTCGTTCATGCTCTGTCTCTCTCTGTCCCAAAAATAAATAAAAACGTTAAAAAAAAAAAAAAAAACACCTTCATTTAAGATCGAAAATTTTCTAAGACCCCAATTTAGGCTTCTTTTGAGTAGATGCTAAATTAATTTCTGAAGGTTGAATAAATAAATGAAATGATATAATTGTGAATTACATACCCGCAACTATTTAACTTTTTATTGTGCAGAATGTCAAATAAATACAAAAATAGAGAAAATGAATACATGCATTCCATGTATGCATCATCCTGCCTCAACAATCATAGCAAATCATGCCTCATCAACAACCCCACTAACAAGGGTTCTGTACCCCAATTCCAACATGGGTGCGTTCCCACACATTGAAGCAATTCTTAGATACCAGCATGGTGTCTCCTATAATTCAACTCTATTCTGACTTTATCCCACAAATAGCGTCAAATCCCATAGGTTCAGTCCCATAAGACTGAACCTTCCCCACCACACGCGCACACACACACACACACACACACACTTAAGACCCCAATGCCAAGTACAGGTTGTCACCCATGCTTCTGACCAACTGCTACACACTGGAGGTTCCAACAATCCCCTCTTTGGGTTTGATCAATTTGCTACAGTGGCTCAGAGAACTCAGAGAAATATTTTATTCACTAGCTCACCAGTGTATTATAAAAGGGTAGAACTCAGATGGAAGCGATGCACAGGACAGGGTTTGTGGGAAGAAGCACAGAGCTTCCATGCCCTGTCTGAACATCCCATTCTCCCTGCATCTCCATGTGTTCACCAATCCAACCCAGAAGCTTTCAAAACTCCATCCTTTGGGTTTTTATTTGTTGTGAAGTCATGACTGATTAAATCATTGGCCATTGATGACTGGGCTAGATCACCAGCCCTTCTCCGCTCCTTGGAGGTCAGGAGGGTGGGACTCAAAGTTCCAACTCTCTGATCACCAAGGTTGGCTCTGATAGCAAATAGCCCCATCCTTAGGTGAGGTCCAGAATTCACCTCATTAACACAGGAAGAAATACCAGACTAAAAGTCACCTCACTAACATAAGAAGAAACACCTTTATCACTCTCATCACAGGAAATTCCAAGGGTTTTAAGAGCTGGGAGCCAGAGATGAGGACAAGAGCAAATATGTTTCTTATTATAAATCATAATATCACGCCCAAACACTTCCACCTTCCCTCATTATCTCAAAGCACATCATATCATTTCATCCAAAATATTTCAGTGTATATTTCTAAAAGGTAAAGACTTTTTTAACATGGCTATTACATTTTAATTTTAAGTATACTACTGTACCTGACTGTACCCAGGTTTGGCTTCTGAGGAATCTAGAATCAAATCAAGTTAAGACTTAATCAAATCAGACCTAATGATGCCCTTGCTAATCCAGTCCCCATAATTAGCATATAAATTAACCTAATGTCTCTCTTATTCAATTAATTTATACCCTTCATGATTTGGATCCTATCTATTTCACCAATCTATCCCCCACTACTTTTCTCTTCCAAGAAATACACACACACACAAACATATACACACAACTTATGCTCAAGGTATACAGAAGATGTCTTGTTCCTTAAATGTCAGTTTTTTAAACCTCTATGCCTTTGCAAATGCCAATCCCTCTGTCTGAAATCACCTAAGTCCTCATGTCCAGTGGGCAAATTCCTATTTATTATTCAAGATGCAGATTAAATAACCTTCCCTATACTACACTATCTCCTTCCTATTCCTTCAGAGAATTAATTAAATAGTCACTCCCATTTCTCTCCTAGGATGGGAGTTCCTTCAGGGTAAGGACCTTGACTGAATTATCTTTCATTTCTGTTTCCAGGACCCACCAGGTGCAAAATAAATATTTCATGAATTAAATAGAGTTGAATCTAAGAAGTTATTGAGTACTCAGCAAGAATTGAGTAGATTATTATCCTCAATAAAACTATCCCAACTTAGAGTGCTATCAGCCTAAAATTAAAATCCTTGAGGTGACTGGGTGGCTCTGTCAGTTATGTGTCTGACTCTTGATTTTGGCTCAGATCATGATCCACGGTTCGTGAGATCAAGCCCTAAGTCATATTCTGCACTGACAACACAGAGCTTGCTTGGGATTCTCTTTCTCCTTTCTCTCTCTCTCTCTCTCTCTGCTTCTCCCCTGCTCATGCTTGCTCAATCTCTCTCTCTCTCTCAAAATAAATAAATAAACTTAAAAAAATTAAATTAGGGGCACCTGGGTAGCTCAGTTAGTTGAGCATCCAGCTTTTTTTTTTTTTTTAATAATTTTTTTAAACGTTTGTCTCTTATTATTGAGAGACAGAGACAGAGCACAAGCAGGGATGGGGCAGAGAAAGAGGGGGACACAGAATCCAAAGCAGGCTCCAGGCTCTGAGTTGTCAGCACAGAGCCCAATGCGGGGCTCGAACTCACAAACCGCAAGATCATGACCTGAGCCGAAGTCCGACGCTTAACCAACTGAGCCACCCAGGCGCCCCGTGTCCAGCTCTTGATTTTGGCTCAGGTCATAATCTCCAAGTTCATGAATTTGAGCCCCGCATCGGGTTCTGTGCTGACAATACAGAGCCTGCTTGGGATTCTCTCTTTCTCCCTCTCCCTGTGCCCCTCCCCCATTCTCACTCTCTTAAAGTAAATAAAAACTTTATAAAAATTAAATCAAATCAAATCAAATCAAAATCCTTAACCAGCAATAATGACTATACTCTAACCAATAGAACAGAATGGACATCGTATATTCTGAAGCTGGAAGAAACCTCAAAGCCATCATCTGGGTCAGATCCCATGCCTTTCTGCAAGAACGATATTAATGTGTCCATTTCACAAATTAACAACTAGAGGTATAAGATACTTAAATGCTTTACCCAAGGTCACACAGCTCCCAAGTGATGGCTAAAAAAACTAAAACTTGGATCTCAAATGCACAGAAACAACATAAAAGGTGGTGAATAAATAAGAGGTGGATAAATTGAGAAGCAGAGAAATTAAGCAGAACTAAATAAGGTTAAACATTTGATAAGAACCTATGTGGATTCAGGAAATGTCAGAGATTTTCATCAAGAATTCAGACCAAAGTTCTGCTAGCTGGACAACACAATGGGTAATGATTCATTAACAGTGAAAGAAGAAAGTCTGCACATTCTTTGGGAGGCCAGTAGATAGAAACAGGTTTCATAAATCATCAAATTTCCACCAACCCAGGAACATCAAGGAGCTTCATATCCCACTCTCTCTGTGGCTCAGTAACCACTCATTTGGCTCTGGTCCAGAGGGAATCGATGCAATTCATATCACATGGCTAGGCAGGCTCATTATACAAGCCTAGAAGACAGAAGTCTATCAGCAGAGGAGTGGTAGTTAATGCAATGCAATCCCACCGAGCATAAGAGAACCAATCACATGCAAATAGAGGGAAAGCGAGGAACAGACAAATAACATAAGAGGAGCTAAAAGGAGATAAATGGGACAGGCCAAAGAACCTTTTAAGACTGTACATGAGGCAGTACAATGTCACTAAGAACAGGCAATACTCCTGAGAATGACTGACCGGCTCCTGAAGGCTCAAAACCTGTACGACCAAAGCCAGTCCACACTGCCACCCTGTGCCTAAGCCTATGACCTGAGAAGTACACAATGGGCACCATGTTCAAGAGGCTACCAGTCTCACTGAGATGATCAGACAAATCATTATTGTTCGTGTTTGAAAAGCCAGTGACTTGAGCCTCTTCTTGACCATTGATAATAGCAATAGCTTTAGCCAGACCATCAGCCTCAGATATGAAAGGAAACACACATTTCCTCAAATAAAGTAAGGACTGATTTCCATATCCCCAGATGAACACTAGTCCTGACTTATGACTCAGAAGCGCCGAAAACTGCTTCCTGGATTGTACTGTGTACCAAAGACAAAGAAAATAGGATGTTTGAGACAAAAGTCACATTGAATTTACTTGGAAGGCTGATTCTTTCTCCACGCCCTCCCTAGAAGACGCAGCTGGATTATATAACCTTAACTTTGCCCCGCAGAATGCTCATGTCAGGGGATATGCCCTCCAACCCCTAGGATTACACAGATTTGGCTCCCTACTTAGACCTTAGAACAAATGGCCAGCACTGTAAAATGCCCTGCCTCCTTGTTCACTTCTGGCTGCCTGTTTTTTCATGGTCTCCACCAGGAGTGGCTCACAATTCACACTTATTCAAATTTCTCATAGCTAGAGGGAGGAAAAATCTGCTAAGTTCAGGTACTTCAAAGTAAATTGTGTACATTAGAATTTTACACACAAAAAAATCATTGCTAGAGAATGAACTCTGGATCCCTCACATCTGGCCTTTGTGGGGAGGGGAACAGGGGTGGAGGTGGAAGAAATCCTAGCAGAAGGGTATGTACTTTGACATGGCAGCTCCCAGGCCCAGTCCTGAGCAATGAACCACTGCCCTTCTGCGGGTCAGAACAGGTCTCCTGTCCGCCTGACCCCCAGCTGGTCCATCTTGGGGAAACATGGGGCCAATGGTAAAGAAGCCTCTGCTGACAACCCCTTCTCACCCCCAGCTTCAAAAGTACAAAAGTATGTTTTCCTTCAGGGCCAGCCTTAGGAGCTCTGATTTTGGATAAGAGGGAAAAACCTCTCCACAAAAACTCTGTTTGAACTTCTCCATCTATGTATCCCATGAGAGGCACCCAAGATCACCTTCACCAAACTTACTCTTTTGTTAGGATTGACCTCTTACCTTCACTTGTGTAAGAACAAATACAAGTTGGTACAGAGGTTACGGAGGTCAAGCACATCCAGGAGAACAAAACTTACTAGGCTTAAATGGATGTCACTTTTGGTAGGAGGGGTGAGTCTGTTTCAGGCCCTCTGGGCACTGCAACAATGCACCAATGGATCCTGAGAAGCTTCTGGATCAGTGAAGAGTCAAAGATCCTCCAGTAACTAAGCCTAGGGTTCCTGGCCAATGCATTTATGATTAAAAAAAAAAAAAAAAAAAAAAAAAAAAAAAAAAAGGAACTGCTGTTCTGGGGAACCTGAGATTTTATGCACCCCACATACATTACAGTGCACAATTTTATTCCGGTGAAGAGGAAACTGATCACTGATAAACAAATTAACAGCAACAAAAAACAAATCAGACTCACGTTTCTCCAGTGCTGGATTCCTAGGAAATGACACTCTTCTCTTCCTGCTTCTTTCCTGAATAAAAATGCAGCATAAAGTTCTGACTACAAATTTCTTTATGAGATCTTGGGAGTTCTGCAAGAGCAAGAACCTAGAAAGAAAGAAGAAGGAAATGAACATCAAGGTTCAGACTCAAGAGAAGAAAGAAACTGTCTAGCTTCACTCTCCCAGCTGGTAGGACTGGTACAAAGACGGGTCAGATGCAAAGTTCCTTAAGACTGCTTCCCTTGCAAGACGCTGGACTTCTGCCTCCTTTCAGGACTGCAGAGGAGTACACACACTTTTCTCTGGCTTTGATTCTGCAAAAGCTTCAGGTCTGACAGGAAATCACCTACACCAGATCAGCAGAACACAGAGGCAAGGGAAGAAAAGAGGATCTATTGAGAGAACAAAATGCAAACACAGGGAAGCTGACTTAGGTACATTAACAGACTACAAAACAGACCCAGCTGTCTTCAAAACGAAGAGACAAAGTCTCCAATATTCCAAGAACAGTCACAGAAGAGTCTGGCTGCCCAATAACAAGGGAACAAAGTCAACAATTTTGAATTAAAATCCTCATAATCAAAACTGTAAATAGAAGTATCTCGGTTGAGCATCCGACTCTCGATTTTGGCTCTGGTCATGATCTCAGTTTGTAGGATGGAGCCCCCGAGTCAGGTTCTGCACTGTCTCTCTCTCTGCCCCTCCCCCATTCTCATGCACACACGCTTGCACACACTCTCTCTCAAAATAAATAAACATTAAAAAAATCACCTCATCATTTTTTAAAAAGTAGACAACAATGCTAAATCTCAGAAGAAAAAAAAGATAAAAGAAATAAGATGAGTCAAGAAAAAGCAAAGAGATTGAAAGGGAAGGCTCAAAATACAGTCCTTACTGAACTCAAAAAAGGTTGTGTTCCCTTTCTCTCATCCAAGTTTTTTGGTTAATTTCAAAAACAAAAAGGAATGTGGCTTCCATCATGCCCCAGCCTCTCCCTTACTCTAAGGAAAGACAGCTGCCACATTGGTGGTGGCCTATGGTGAGGCCTGTGTGGCAGAACTTAAGGGGCCCCCAGCAAACAGCCAGAAAGGAACTGAGGCCCTCAGTCCGACAACCCTCAAGGAACTGAATCCTGCCAACAACTATGTGAGCGGGCTAGGAAGCAGATCTTCTCCAATACAACATTAGGTGAGTTCACCTTGGCCAACTGTGACCGCTTAAAAAATCCTAAACCAGAACCACCCAGCTAAGCTGCTCCCAGAATTTTAACCCCCAGAAACTGAGAAAATAAATACTTGTTGTTTTAAGCTGCCAAGTTTGGGGGTAATTTGTTATACAGCAATACATAGCTAACACAACAGCTTTGAGGTAGGCAAAACTTTCTTAACGCCCCAAAAACATGAATAATGAAAGGAAAACGTGATAGAATGAACTTCATCAAGATTAAAGCTCTTCAAAAGCTTTTTCATGATAGAAAAAAAAAAAAAAGAAAGAAAAGGAAAAGGCAAGCCACAGAATGGGAGAAAATGTTTACAGTACACATATTTGACAAAGCACTTGTATCCAGAATAAAGAACTCTTACAACACAGTAATAACACGAACAACTTATAATAAAATATGAACAAAATATTTGAATAGACATTCCAAAAAAGAAGGTATGCAGATAAACTCAAAAGGCAAATGACTAAAACAAAAAAGACTGCACACACCAAGTATTGGTGAGGACCTGGAAAAACTGAACTCTCTAATACACTGCTGGCAGGGATAGAAAATGGTACGACCATTTTGGAAAACATTTTGCAAGTTTCTTAAAATAAACACATACCTACCATAAGACTCAGCAATCCCACCCTGGAGATTTATCCAAGAGCAATCAAAGAGCGCTTTATTCATGAAAGCCCCAAACTAGAGTGTCCATCAACAGATAAATGGATGAATAAATTGTGGTATATCCTTACGATGGAATGCTACTCAGCAACAAAAAGGAAGGAATTAGTGCTGCATGCCAAAAATGGGGATAAATATAAAAAGCCTTTTATACCAAAAGAAGCCGGACACAAAAGAACATAATTCCATTTATACAAAACACTAGAAAATACAAACAAATGCTACAATGACAAAAATCAGGTCAGTAGGGCTAGGGGTGGGGAGATCTGACTGCAAACAGGTTTTAGGAAATTTTCAGGGGTGACAGAAGTGTTATATTGTGCTGGTGATTAAAAGTGTGTATGCAATTGTCAAAATTAATCAAAATGTACACTTAAAGTGGGTGCATATTATTGCATTGAATTATATATCAAGAAAACATTAACTTTAAAAAATTATTAGGCATGAATCAAATTATCTGAAAACTTAAAACGTCCTGACTACTTTATTTCAGCAACATGAAAGTGATAGCACTATTATTATATTGAAAACCTACCAGGTAGATGTAATAAAATCTAGAAATCTGCATTTTATCTTTCTTCCCCGATCCTCATTCCAATACCGGTCAGTCAAATATTTAAAGAGTAACTACAATATGCAAGTCACTTATAAAGAAAACATAGTAAACAAGTTTAATGAATGAATGAATTATTTAATTCCCAACTTGAAGTTGTACCTTTACAACATGTAGCTGGTAGGTACTTACTTAAAATTCTAATTCTGATGGGAGAGAAAATGACAAAGTCAAACACTGCAACACTAAATTTCGGAGATTTTCCTAATCTTGTACTGATGACTCTCCTATGCAGGATTGCATCATTCATTCATGCCGTTTGGTAACAGTGACATAAAACAAGGGAAAACTACTCAAAAGTTAATTGAGAAAAAGAAAGTCTTGAAATCCCATGAACCATTTTACCTACGCCGATTAAGAAAAACACACGTAGAATCAGAGGCCCTGGATGTGGAAAAGGAAGGCGGGTAAATCATAAAGTTGGGCACACGGAGAGATAAACACATGCCCAGACTCACCCGGGCGCTGCTGCTCCTTCCTGGGCCGCCGCCACCGCCTCTCTGGCTCCCGCTGCTGTAACCTTCCGACTGCAGGGGGGCCGAGGGCCGGCTCCGACGTTCAGTCGCCGAGCTCCGAGGGAGGCGACCTGTGCAGACCCGCAGAGCTTTTACCAAACAATCATAAGAGATCTGCTGATAAGCACCTTGGCTTCTGCTAGGCTTTGCATAGGCTTTTCTAAACTGGAGACCCTGGAGATTCAGACTCTGCACAGCGGTGCTGGGGAGAAGCCCTTGGTCCCGCCCCCTGGGAGGGGCTCCCTGAGCCCGCCCCTCCTCCCTGCGGGGGCTCAGCGCCTGCGGCCCTAGACTTGCAGCGCGAGGTGGATGTTTTCCCGCAGAGCCGCGAGCCTCGCCACCTCCACTTTGCGCGGGAGGGGCAAGAGGCTACCTTCGGGGCCCTCCGCGCCGCCGGCGCTTGGGAGGAGGGTTGTGAGAGAGCCGGGGACCTCTGCGCTAATTTTGCAATTAATGAAAGCTCCTTCGGGACCTTTTTTGAATCCGCGTTTGACCTTATGCTCTTGTAGCAATGTAGGTCTCAAGAGAATTTCGGTAACGACTTATATTCGTATTATAAGTCAACTATATTTCAATTAAAAAACATGTATTATCGGTGCGCCTGGGTGGCTCAGTCGGTTGAGCATCCGACTTCAGCTCAGGTCATGATCTCGCGGTTCGTGAGTTCGAACACCGAGTCCCTCTCTGTGCTGACAGCTCAGAGCCTGGAGCCTGCTTCAGATTCTGTGTCCCCCTCTCTCTCCGCCCCACCCCTGCTTGTGCTCTGTCTCTCTCTCTCTCTCTCTGTCTTTCAAAAACGAATAAACATAAAAAAATTTTTTTAAACCAAAACGTGTATTATCAAAAGCAAAACTACTTATATTCGCAACTAAAATATAAAAAATCGTTAACAAAATGAGTCTTTACATTCTTTTTTCCTTGTCATCTTACTTTCTTCTAGGTGTCACTTGCCGAGCTACTTTTAAGTTGACTACAATAAATAAGGGGTGAGCACCTCCAAACATTAACCTTTGGCTCAACCCGCGGGAGGTGGGCAGTGAGGTCCCACCTTAGAACAAACACAGCCTGAAACCTCAGATGCCGACAGTTCTGCAGACTCCTTCCAAGGGGTCACTCAGGCAGAGGGGGCGATATTGCTGGAGCGGGACACTTTGTCACGACTTCTCTGCCGGCTGCTACAGAACCTCTCAACACAATTCTATCCAGAAGCAAGAGTGCTGCTGCTCTTTGCTCAGTTGTGCCCCTGAAGTTCAGTATTTTCAGATTTCATTTGTAAGAAACATTGTGCCAAAACAGGTTTGGGGCACACCTGGTTTAATTTCTCCCAGATCTCCAAAGATGGTTCTGATGAAGGATGGGGAGAAGGAATTTTGATGTTTTGAAATATGAGGTAAAAAATGGGGCGCCTGGGTGGCTTAGTCGGTTAAGCATCAGACTTCGGCTGAGGTCATGATCTCACGGTTTGTGGGTTCGCGTGGGGCTCTGTGCTGACAGCCCAGAGCCTGGAGCCTGCTTCAGATTCTGTGTCTCATTCTCTCTCTGACCCAACCCCACTTGTGCTGTCTCTCTCTGCCTCTCAAAAATAAATAAATGTTGAAATATGAGGTAAAAAAATGATACAATTAATGAGAGAGGGCAAAATAAGGGGGCCTAAAAGAACGATCTAGTCAAGAACCTGTTTATATTTTGTAGTATGTAATTTAGAAATAAGTATAATAAAAGAAACAAGATGTTGAACACCAAATATTTGTTCTCTCTCTCTCTCTCTCAAAAATACATATATTTTTTAAAAATTTTTTTAAAAAGGGGGGGTGCCTGGGTGGCTCAGTGGGTTGGGCGACCGACTTTGGCTCAGGTCATAATCTCCAGGTCCCTGAGTTGGAGCCCCTCGTGGGGCTCTGTGCTGACAGCTCCCAGCCTGGAGCCTGCTTCTGATTCCGTGTCTCCCTCTCTCTCTCTGTCCCTCCCCTGCTCGCACTCTTTCTTTCTCTCTCTCAAAAATAAACATAAATTAAAAAAAAATTTTTTTAAACACCAAGTATTTGTATATAAGTATAAATGGTAGTTGAGTATTTCTAGGGGAAAAGAAACCCAAGTACAATAATGTAAAAAGGTAGAATTAATTTCTGCTATTATTCATACTTCATAGATGTTTAAAATTAAACACATTTCAAATAAAATATTTGTACTGAATAAATAAAATCTGTCAGTTACTGTCTCTATCTACCTCACATTCACACCTGTACTAACACTTGTGGTCATGAGGGGGCAGTGTTGTAGACAAAAACCACATTTAAAAAAAAAAAGAAAAAAAAAAGTCCAGAGGAAGCTAATGGTGGTCCTAGATACATGCATGTAACAATCATGAAGTAATGTTGCTGGACAAAGCATAACTATACAAATACATTACATTATGCTTCATTGTTCTTCTTCTGGAATAATGTTAAATAGCACATGTGAACCAAATACAATGCAATATAATAAAAACATTAGCAAATTATTTGCAAAGTTTTAATTACAATTGGTTAGTAAAAAGCAATTCAGGTAATTTTAGTAGTGTTCCTGAGAGGTTTCCTATAGATCACATTTTTATAAGCTAATATATTGTCTGATGATTAACTATGTTAGAATCATGTACTTTTTAAAAAATAATTCAATGCTACTAAAATAGGCTTCTAAAATAGAGTAAATTGGATCACTCTAGAAACAATATGATATTGAACATGCACATTTTCTATGACCCAGAAATTCCACCTCAGAAATGTACCCAGAAGAAACTCTTGCACATAAGTAGCAGGAATCACATATAAGAATATTCACAACAATACTGTATACATACAGACATTGACAGAAACTTAAAAAAGAGAGTATCATTTAATATCATAAGTGATAACTTACAACATAAAATTCAGGAAGGTAGTTACCTCTGGATACAGGAAAGAAAATGAGACTGAGAAGAGATTATAGAGTTACTTAATGGCAGTGAGTATACAGATTTTTGTATTTGTGTGTATATATATATTTTATGAGACACAATATTTTTATCAACACATTAAATACTGATACATAAAAATATATAAATGTTTTAAAATAATATAAAGAAAATACAATTTAATGTCAACATTAAAAATAACATTCAAAATAAGTCACAGCATGGAAACAGGTCTATGATATGTCCTGTGAATGAAGCAGGTTGCAGAACAATATATATTGTTTGATTCTCATTTCTGAAAGAAGAAAAACTCTGTGTATGTCAACAGTAATTGTGGGGAACAATTAATCAAGGAGAGTAAAAGGAGTGAAAAATTTACCTTTCTACTTTATTTGATTTTATACTAGTTGAGATTAGTTTAAAAACATTTATTAATTTTTTAATAATTTGCAAATCAATTAAAACTAAATGCTTTAGGAGTGGGGAAAGGGTGAAATAGGTGGAGGTGGCCAAAAGGTACAAATATCCAGTTATAAAATAAATAAGTTATAGGTATATAATCAAAACAGAAAAAACTCAGGGTTGTTTTTTGGGTTTTCTTTTTTCCTTCCTATGTAGGGAAAAACCCAATTCTTTCCTCCTGTGTTGTTTTTTACTACTTGCCCTAAACACTTGACTTCTAGTCATCAAATGCGGAAGTTTTACCCCACACCAAACAATCTCTGCAACACTAGCTGGGCACCCTATAATTTAACTCAATTCTGACACTGTCTTCTCAAAGCATAATATCCCACAGGTTAAGGACTCAGTCCCACAAGGCTGCCCTCCCTGCCCCCCCCCCCAACACTTAGATACCAGCTGCAAGCTCGGGTTATCGTCTGTGCTTCTGACCAATTGGCTATAGATCAGAGGTTCCAATGCCCGCCATCCACTCCCCCCCCCACTCCTGCCTCCTTAAGTTTAATTAATTTGCTAAAGCAGCTCACAGAACTCAACACTAACATTTACCAGCTTACTACAGGATACAGATGAACAACCAGATGAAGAGATACATAGTGTAATGAAGTCTGGGAGGGTCCCAAGCACAGGAGCTTCTGTTCCTATAGAGTTGGGTATATCACCCTCCCCGTGTGGATCTGTTCACCAACCTGGAAGCTCTTCAAACCCAGTACTTTGGGGATTTTATGGAGCTTTCATACATAGGCATGATCGATCATTAACACCATTTTCAGCCCTTCTCTCTTCTCAAGAGAATGAGGGACAAGGCTGAAAATTCCAAACTTCGAATCATGGATTTGTCTTTCCTGTGACTAGGTCTCATCCAGAAGCCCACTCAGTTAATTCATTAGGACAAAAGACACTCCCATCTCCCAGGAAATTACTAGGGTTTTAGGAGCTCTGTGTCAGAAACAGAAGTCGAAGACCAATATTAGAACAAGAAATGCTCCTGGTGTTCTTATATTTTAGGAAATAACAAGGATTTTTTTTTTTAGTTTTTTTTTTAATGTTTATTTTTGAGAGAGAGAGAGAGAGAGAGAGAGAACGGGGGAGGGGCAAAGAGAGAGGGAGACACCCAAAGCAGGCTCCAGGCTCTGACGCTTAACCGACTGAGCCAACCTGGTGACTCAGGAAATAACAAGGGTTTTAGGAGCTTGTGCCAGGAACCAGGGAAGAAACCAATATATATTTTCTATTAACTCACTGTAATGTATAATATTATAACTATAGTTAATACTGAATTGCATTTTTGAAAGTTGCTAAAAAGATCTTAAAAGTTCTCATCATAATAAAAAAACTGTAACTATGTAATGGTGATGGATATTAACTAGATTTATTCTAGTGATCATTTCACAATATATACAAATATCAAATCATTATGTTGTACACCAAAACTAATATATGTTAATTATAGTGCAATAAAAAAATAAATAATAAAATAAAATTTAAAATAAATAAATGCCTCATATTACTAAGATACATGATTAAATATCAAAAAAGTTACCTAGGGGCGCCTGGGTGGCTCCATTGGTTAAGCATCCAACTTCGGCTCAGGTCACAATCTCA